TCAGTCAGATATAAAACCAGTGGTTCACTGAATGATTCAGTCAGATATAAAACCAGTGGTTCACTGACTGACTCATTAGTCAGACATAAAAAACACATACTGCTTAATAAAAACACCTATTGCACATTCCCACATACACTCCAGCAAGTGAGCGAAACAATGAATCAGGCCAGAGCATCAGTAGCAGGACAAAGACTAAATGCCACGTTATTTCACAACATGACTGATGTAGCGACAGATGGATTTCTAATTCTGTGAAGTCTCTAAACTTCCGAACTAGGCAAAAAGGCATTAAAAAAATAAAAACATATAAAATAGTATAATATAATAATAAGATTAATGGACTGTAGTACTTTGCCACATTCTGGAGTAGGATCCTGTGTTTCAAACGTCATAAAAAGTTGCTGAGCTCAGTAGCTTTTTTCAGATCATCATCTGTGAGGAGACGCCTTCTCCTTGTAGTCATGTTGACTGCTGGAGTCCCAGAACTCTTTCGGATCCCTCAGTGAGAGGTGGTAAAGCAGTGGTTCCCTGGATGGCGAGGCTCCCTGACATGCGACTCGTACCGACTCTTCATTGTGAGCAAACAGATGTTCAGCTGCAGTCCTAATCAGCAGTGACCAGTGAGCCACGCAGCCATGTCTTCATCTCATTTCCTTTCAGTCCTGAACTCTTTTTGAGTGCACGACATACAAGTGTATTGATGCAGTGCACGTTGTGGTATTCCTGCCACGTGTTACCCTCCTCCAATAGTAACAGGGATGTGGGGAGCATTTTGTAGTCCATGAAGTTGAGCATGTTTGTGTTTGGAGAGCTGTTCTCAGTCCGGGCGCTGCTGCAGGAGTCAGGAAGAGGGAGGGGCTTATTCTGAACAAATCTACAATTCGAAGGACTGTGAGGAAACTGAGGGCTCCTGTAAGACTTTCAGGACATTTTGAAGACTTCCTGGTTCTGTCGCTGCCTGGTGGGGTTCTGGTCCACAGGGCTCACTACAAAGAACTGAGCAGCAAGTTGAATCTAGGCCATGTCCTCCAAGAGGGTCCAGAGGACCAGGCTGGTTCTGCTCTGATCTCTATACACAGAACCAGAGTTGGACCTGACAGCGTCCTCTCTCTCTCTCGTTTCAGGTGGAGGACTCTCTACCTTCTGTTTCTGTACAGATTAACGCTCCCGTCCTGTCGCTCTCCCTCAGCGTATTGTTGGTCATCGCTGCCGTTTTCCTCTTTCTGGCTTTTAAACGTACGACTTAAAATTTACATTTATTATTTATTGTTGTTGTTGTTGACGACACATGATGTCACCAGCTTCTTCCTTTAGTTACAATCCACTTTTAATATCCGTGCAGGAGGGATCTACAGAGGAGCTCTGAAGACCGACTGGTGAGTTTATCTGGACAAGTCTAATCTCAGAGTCACGAGTACGGCTGCAACTATGATTATTTCAAGAAGCGATTAATCGCTCAATTAATCCAAACCCCACACCCGATCGATGAATCAGGAGCAAAACAAACATTTTAATTTCCACCTCTTTAGTCCAAAATTTAACTGACATAGCAAATCACACAAAAAACAGGTTGCTACTTGACTATTCTGTTAGTAAAATATTGACTAATAAAAATTAAAATTTAGTCAAATAGGTTCAATAAAAAATAAAAGTAGACAAAAATATTTACAAATGAATAGTTTATACCTGCACAATATGTAGCTACTTTGTAAAATGTGTCCTGAGGGAAGAGTGTCACCTGGATTAACCTGGATTAAAAGTGTGGATCATTGTAACCTGGATTAAAAGTGTGGATTATTGTAACCTGGATTAAAA